GTTGAAGTGTTCGCAACAAGTCTGCCATGAGAGAACTGCGGGGGGGAATCCATGAGAGACTTTGAGAGTGAGAGACCTTGGCAAAATCTGTGGGGGAAATCGATGAGAGACTTTGAGAGTGAGAGACCTTGGCAAAAATCAGAAACAAAGACTGTGGTAGGTGGTAAATGAAAGACTGTGATATGTGGTAAATGAAAGACTGTGAGAGACTTTCAGGGTATATAGTGTCAGACCTCATGGATGCAGACATATTTAAGACAGGTTAGATGTGTCTATCATATGGATGTCTCTGAAGGTGTCTCACGGATGCCTCTCACAGCTCTACATGAAGCAAACTCGACGCATGAACAAACCACATATATATACTCAGAGAAGTAAAACCTGCAGCTCACGTGTCCCAGCAAAGTGCGCACAAGCTCACGATTCTTTTTACGCAGCCAAGTCGAGATAGTGCAGGTGCAACCCTAAGCGGTAGTGGCGGGCCAGCTTTGTGGTTTGTTTATCAAGCTTGTTGCCACGAACGCACGCTTTAGCGACCTGCTGCATGCGCTGCATTTGATCCTCACCCATGAAGCACCATGTGACTTTGGGGTTTATGGAGCGACTCAAAATAGCAAGCTCTTGAAGCATGTGGCATTTGCTTGTGATATCGAAGCATTTCATGCCTTCCTCAACGAAGTGATCAGCTACCTGGGAAAGAAGTAAGAGCATGCTGTTGGCGGTTTCTTCAAACTCTTGCGCTGGTCCAGGTGGTAGGGCGAAGTCGTCCTTGTGGAAAGTAATCATTTCCCCCAGGTGTACATTTTGTTTCAGCATGAGGGTGATGCGCTGGTGCAGCACGAGGTGAGGGTTCTGATGCCGAGACCACAGGGCCAACAAAGCTGGGCCGAAGTGCCTTATCTCTGAGGCCTTCCCCCTCAATTTGGGGTACTTTCCTGTGCGGATGAACATTGACAATTTCGACAAATATCTGAATGGTGTGGGCGTGGCGTGGTTTTTGAAAAAGGTTTTCAAAAAATCCCAGCAGTTCTGCAAGTTCTGGTTCGCGTCATTTGGCATGACCATAGAAACCAAGAGGGCCATCACTGAGCCAAAGATGTACTGATCTACGCCCAAGTACTTTACGTGAACCCAGTCGTAGGCTATTGACCAGCAACTCGCCCCAGGAAGAGTCAGCAAAATGCACTTCGAACGTTCGTCCCAATTTCTCCAAACGTCGGCCTCCCAGCGGGTGTTCCTCCACATAGCCTGTGGTCGAAAATCTGTCCATGTTGCAGCGCCAGTCCCAGTGCATTTGCAATGCATACATGGGCCACCCACTGCGGAATAGTTGGGGGGTGCCAAGCATGGCGTTGAAGTAGTCAAGGTCTCCTGTGAGTGCCCATAGGGCACCCTTCCAGCCACCAGCCAGCCAAGACCCGGCTCTCAAGGCTTCCACAGAGCCTTCTTTGTACCTTACACAGCCGAAATTTTTCAGACCACACCTGAAACGCTGAAGAGGTTACACCATGAGAGGAACTTTTTGTACCCCTGAGAGGTGACACCATGAGAGGAACTAGGGTAAAACAGTTCAGCTTCAATGTTCATGGTTATCATGTTCCAGGTTCTCATGTTCCAGGTTCTCACGTTCCATGTTATATTCTTTTATAAATGGATGACCTCTCTCAATTGCATATGTATTCATATTCCTGCTGGTTTGTTGCATGTACATTTAACAGCAAGACATGTCTGCAAAACTTCAAGTTGCTTCTCTCCTCTGTGATTCCTCGAAGGCCACCTGCCTTCCGATAACGCCAAAAAGCTCCATCTCAATATGGAGTAGAACTCCAGCAGTGTGCCTGATGCTTGGTCGCCCACCTTCAGCTTGTCAAAGAACCCCCACACCCACATGAGCATTGATGGAGTGGTACCATATCCCAGAAGGGAATACCATGAGTAATTGGTCATCACTCGACTCCACACTTTCCCCACACCAGTGACTGGAACTCCGTCACCGTGCACGGCAATAGGCACAGTCCAACTCTCCCATTGAGGGGAGGAAGTCATGGGGTGATCACGCATCTGGGGATGAAGCCGCATGGCTCTCCAAAACTTTTGCACCCGCTCAACGCTTGGCACAACTGCAGTGGACCAGACCTTCTTGTAGTTGCGGTATAGACAAGCAAACATTTCATGTGGCAACAGCGTCGATTGAACTGAGTCAGGAAACCCTTTCAGTGGCACTTTTGCTTTGAAAGGCTTGGGGATTTTTGGAACATGCTCAACTTTGCTCATGAGCTCGGCGTGGATGTTGTTCGCGTGTTTTCCTTTGGTCCCCAGATTGGACAGGTTGTAGAGGTCTTTCAAAACTTGTGGGTCTTCCTTGGATCGTTCGATG